GGTGGGGACCCCGCGGCTAGTAGTGGGGGAACCGTGGCGATACGGTGGGGGTAGAACGTAAAGGAATTGGTGGGGATGAATGCAGAGAACGGAGCGAGTACGAGGACGGGGGCATGTTGCTCTCAGAACGCGCAGAACGTCAGAGTGGGACGAAAAGGACGGGTGTCTCTCGCTTTCTCGCTCTCTGTATCTCTTTCTCTCTTTCTTCGTTTCTTTCGATCATTTGTCTCTCTCGCTCACTCCTCGTGGAGAGGCAGAGAAAGAGAGGCCGATGGCGGGGTGAGAGCCGGCTTACTACGCGGCGAAACGCTACCACGGCGTTCAGTCGTCAGCGATCAGACCGCCGGGCAGTGTGAACCTTCCTGGGCAGTCTCTTCATCTACTACACTCTTCCTCTGCTGTCCCTTCCTGAACATGAAGCAGTAATCAGCATCTGGGAAAGCCGGAGTACAGCTTCCGTGATCGGATTTGCCTGATCCGTTCTACGATGGTCGTAGACTACCACGATCTTGAAGAAACATCACGCGTAAGGGAACCATTGTAGAAGAATTTACGCGAGAAATCGCATCCAGTGGTGAAAGAGAAGATACACGATTGGACACGGCAAACGAATTGGAGAAGGTTCAAGGAGACAGACTTGGTCTCAGACGATTCCAACTCTGTCTCTTTGAATCTACCCTGATACGAGATTCGTCGCAACCGGTGACAAGCAATCGAACAATCGAAGTCTTCGAGAACGCTCGGCAGTCGTTCGATAGCCGTACTCGAAGCTAACAGATGTTCAAGAAGATCTTACTAAATAAACGGTTGTCGCGACTGAAATCACCAGAGACGATCATTGTGGGAGCATGTAAAATCGCAAAGAATTGCAGAAGACGTTGGATATCGAGAAGTCGCTTCGACAACGCTCGAAGATGATACGCAACACTCTGTTCCAAACCGCAAGATTCTAAATTCCAGCGGAAGTCAATGTTCGCAATGAAGTTTCGTTATTCGAAATTTCGACATTCGGCGAGTGAACCAAAAGAAAAAAGAAACGAATTATCCCTTCGTAGTGAGATTGTTGGGAAGACACGTAGGGCTCGTTCGAATGGTTTGTGCTCGGCCTCGCGTCGAGCCACGTGGTGTTCCGAATCGCGCGAACGATCTGCGCTTGATAATCTTCGGCACGTATACGTTCACTTTGCGAAACCGCGGCCCGAAAAAAAAAGGTGAAAACGATGGCGAATCGACGAGCACGACGAGCCGTCGCAATTCCGAAGATCGGTGAAGCCGTTCGAAAGTAGAATTTCCTTCGTTGCTCGTCAGATATGTGGTGCCGTTCGATTGTTACGTAACGAGCATCGAATAACGAAAAACCGTTCACGCATTGGCGAGTCGTACGGCGAGATTTTTGCACCGAACCGTTACTCCTAGTGCGGGATAGTGTAAATCTGTCGGAGAAGATCGACCATGCACCAAGGAAGAAACATATGAAAATGTGTGATTAAATTTAAAACAAAGTAAACGGCAAAGAAAAAATAATTGAGAAAAAGTGGAAGGAATAGCAACACGATGATTCTTATCGTCAACGAAAGTAGTTGAAGAGTACGAAGAAAACGTTACGCTTTACGGACGTGTTAGCAGCCGACGGCTCTTTCGCCAACAGATCGTCACAAATCACCGTTGAAGAACAAGTGAGGTAAGAGTCAACACCGTAAATAAAGCCGATGAAATACCTTCACGAGATTTCCCGTTCGATCGCGTCCGATCGGTACTCGAACTCGTTCCCTGAATTATCCTTTATACCTGAAGAAGCTTCCTATTCGCTCTTTTCGATCGACCTCGCGTTTATTTATGGTGAAGTGTAGATATGAAAACGTTATTTGATATAATACGATCTTGCGCTATTTTTTCCAATCTTGAAACGGTGACGCGTTTTGCGAGTGAAAAATCGGAAAGTGAATATAATTCACCATGATCAAATTTTATGAGATCGAACAAGCCACACAGTTCACTACTTGTCAGATTGTTGAGACAGCAGGCAGTATCCTACGCTTCTTCCATATTTACAGCGAAACTTCATTTATTGGAACGAGATTTTAGTTAGTGTCTGGCTAGGTAGCGATCGAATCTACGTGAATTCCAATTACGTAAAAAATCATTGCAACAGGAAGAACCAGTGAACATGTCTATTACATGAGCTCCGCTTATATGAACTGTAAGGGTTCAACTAAACGAAGTTTTACTCGATAACTCGAACCTACTGGTCGTCCAACTATCTCTATTCAAACCTATTACACGAATTAGCTTTGAAAGTGGTTTTCACTCAACCTACGAAGGTACCATTAGCTAAAGCGATGCTATCGAATCGAGAGATTTTCGCGAGTGACACGAACCTTCGACGCTTCCAGCTTCGATTTTCCTCGATAAACACTAACTTTCTAGTACTGGGTAAATTTGTTCGTGCGAACGTGGAACAAAGTTCGAAGTTCCCGAAGGAGTTATCTCGTGATTGGTACGGTAGACAGGGGAAACAATTTCCCAACCGATCGTCCACGGGATAGATCCACCTGTTAGGCAAACAGGCTGACCGCAAATCTGCAGCTCGAGAAGAGAGTCCACCTGTAGAGCGGTGGTGTCTCGCGTGTCAAAAAATTTCCTCGTATTCGGACGAACAGAGGAGCACGTGTTCAGGTAACCGCGCCCTCGGGGTCGCATTGTATCCTCGAAAATAGCGACAGAGTCGTTCCTCTTCCTCTCTCTCTCTCTCTCTCTCTCTCTCCCTCTCTCTCACTCTCTCTTTCTTTCTCTCGATGGCTCGTGTGGACCTCTTAATCCTGCGTTCGACAGAATCGGGAAGTCAAGTGCTCCATTCAGCTTTCCGGCTACCTCAAGGGAAAATCGAGGTAGAGTATTATTTAGTGACGCATGCGGTTACCTGTTCGAAGATCTTGGAAAGATTCGTGGCACTCTCGGTGTAAGTTGATTATGGCGGTATTGTGTCGGAGATCGAGTTGGCTTGATAGTGTTTTATGTTTGGAAACTGAATAGGAAGATGGGATTAGATAAAGTGGTTCTTGAGGTTGAGTAGATTAGGCTTGGATAAATTTGGAGGAAAATGGGTTTCTTCTAGTTGCATGTTCGACAACTACAGGAAACTAAATGTTACGTTCGAGTTGCGAGTAAAGTGATTTCTGAATTTGTGGATAACTCGGGTTTAGTCAAGTTTGAAACGAAATTTGTTTCTTTGGATCGTGCGTTTGGTAAATTCGAGAAATTATGTGTTGCGTTTGAATTAGAATTGAGAAACCGGTTTTGGGCTCAAGTAACTTAGGTTGAGTTAGATTTGAAAGAAAATTGTTGTTTGATTACGCGTTTGACGAAAAGAAACTAAGTGTTATGTCCGAGAGCTGGAATTTGGTAAAGTGATTTCTGAATTCGAATAGTTTGAGTTTAAATAAAAGAAAGAAGATTGGCTTCTTTTAGAGGTAAGGAATTAAGTGTTACATTCGAGTCCTTTACGTTTAATGGGATGAAAAAAGAATTCGTTAATTTGAAGCGTGTTTGTCTACATCTTGTGAAATTCTGAAACCTGTGTGGAATTTTAAGTAGAGATTTTGGCAAAAATATTCATTAATATTATAATAGAAATTAATTCAAATTTTTAAGTAGCGCATTTGCTTCGAAATCATGTAATCTACGATATGATGACGTATCGTCGAAAGTGTGATAGCATCAGCCTACTGTAGCTACAAAAATTAGCTTCCAAATATCGCATGATTTCATACGAGCATCACAAAGGAAAAATATAATTTATTCAAAATATCAGTCTGTTACTGTCTTCAAACTTCAGAAATTAATCAAGTTTCTTCAATTTCCTAATTGCAACTGTACTTCGTCGCATCAACCAGATATTTCTTAATCGCACTTATTCGCTTTCACAAACAAAAACGCATCTTTGCTGTATAAGATGAATGCGTATTCGCAGTAAAAGATTAATAAAACCTTCGAATGACGACTAATGACAGCTATTCACTGAGTACTCCACGATAATTAATATCAAATTCTCCAATCCATTATTCGAATTTCATTCAAAACTTCAGTAAAACAAATCTCATACTCAAAATCCATCTTTCGGTTTCGCGAAGGTCTGATAAGAAGAAGTCTCGGGGACGTTGAAGTTCGGATCGTTCGTCGAGGGAACTATCAAGAAAAGTATTAATCACACGCGATCAAGTCGTTAGAGACGGATATCGCCGCAATATTTCACGGCGTCACGAGGCTAGCGCAACAGCCTCCGAGCGTACGCACGATTTTTTATCGTCCTTGTCGCCGGGACACAAAACCAGGCAGCTTCTATAATTCATTGCGGTTAGAAGCGTTTCGAAATCGCGCCTCGACGTCTCGAATGCGCAGCGCGGGTATAAATCTTGCTCGATAAGTCGTCGCCTGATTTTCGTGCGGGCAGTGGTTCGAAACTAATCGAAACTCTTGACAACGTTTAGTTAAAAACAAACGAGTTTAGGCTGTGCTTGCAATGGATACGTGTTCTGACGAACGAAACGTCTGACGATCGGAAGCATACGCTCGTAAGAATTTGCAGAGGCGTGCGGAATAATTTGAAATTTATTCGGTATCGATAAAGTTTGAAACAAATCTGAAAATAAGTATATATAGAAATTAAAAGATATTTGTTACAAGTATATATTCCGCAGTGATCGCAAAAATATTTAAACAGTCAATCATTTTAAAAAGTCTCGATACTCAGTGGCACCGTTTTCTTACTTTACATATCCTTACATATTATATACTTAAGATACCTGTTCACTAGTATTTTACTTAATATCTGTGTGCAATAAATATTTTGTAATTTCTGTATCTATTTTCGAATTAGTTTCAAAATTGATCAATATGGTCATGACAGTCATGTTCCATGTACGTATACGTTTTCTCTGGTAATTGTTCAAATACTTTCGTGAACCAGTATGTACGGTACACGTTTGATTGCTCTCGTGTATCCATTAGAATAGACAGTTCGTTAAAACACCGTAACCATAGCTTTAAATATATGTTCGATCATGAGACTCCTGGCCGTCGGACGCTGAACATGTTCAACGCTTCGCTTCGAAGTGAACTGTAGTTGCTCGAAGATTGACTTGATTTACGATTGCGAAGTAGGAACGTGTATTAAAATGTGGACGTGAACGAAAGTGAACGAGACTCTAATTCGAATGGTGGAGCTTTGACTTGCCAAATGTAAGAGTTCGTCTGAAATATTTTGTTCAACTTGGTTTGGTGTAATTAGTTCGAAGTTTTTAGGTGTTTCTTGTAGGGTAGATGTAGGATTATGGTATATTTGGTTTGAAGTTTCTACTGTTGTACAAGAAGTCTGATAGTTGTTTGGAATTATATGGTTCCAGGGGGATGAGAAAAGAATTATGTGCAATTACGTGGAACGTGTATTGCGTACAAATTCTGAAATTAACGAAGTCGAACATCGAGTAGTACCGAAGTAACTAATGATTTTATCCACTTGCCAATTTATCGAGATTGTTTAAATATCTGTCACATAAAAAGGAATTCATTTGTTATCATTCTGTTTGAATGTAAAATAACAAATGCAATGAAAAATTCACACGAACACGTAAATGGCAATGAAATATAATCTAAGCAAATATAACAAATGAAATTAACTTGTGACTTATCCTTTTGAGTAGAAATCACGAACCTCGTCCGCGTGAGCCCTCTGTTCCACTTTAATAGACTATACGCTATTATCGTTCGAGTGATTCGTTACTATATTTGAAAATACACGAATAAAAATTATCATACACTTCAAGATTATTAATAAAGTTCAAATATCGTAAAATATTATATAACTTCAAATATAAATTGAATTAGTCGGTCAGTTACAATAATCATCTTGATCGTTATTTTTTTTCGTTCGAAACTTCAATAAAATTCGTTTCCAACTTTAATCGCCAAGCAACAGATACGACAAAGGAAAGGACACCTTAAAACAAATCTTGCAGTAAGGCGAACATTCTCCTGTATTCTCAACAATATACCAAACGTGAACTCAGAACACTTCCTCCATTTCCAATTTCCATATCAAAACGTTCACCTCCTTTCTGGCACTCACTTCCTAAAATATGCCCAAAATGCCGCAGCTTCGTTCATCTTCATCGTTCCACGCAAAGTCACGAACACTTCTGTTACCCAGTGAGTAACCCAGTGAAACCTGGTAGGTTTAAAAGTCGTCGAGATTTAAGCACTCAATCGACCAACCACCTCGGAAAGAGAGAAAAAGAGAGAAAACGAGAACGGTAGTATCGGATAGCGTCGTGAATGAAATCGATGCGATCGATTCGTTACGCGGTTCCTGAGTAATGCGTTCCAAGAAGCGGGACAATGTGTCTCGGAACGAAAATAAAGGCTTAGACCCCCAGAAGAAGACAATCGCGTTGCTCGTGCGCGCGCGTTCGTCGAACGTCCCTTTGGGTACAAGCTGCGGTTCGGTAGATATACCCCAGAGGTTCTGCCTTCTCCTGGGCCTTATAGGGGCCATTATCCGATCGTGGAATTTGAGATCTGGCCCTTTCAGCCGCGCGTCAAATTATCCCTGAGCACAATGCGCCCGTTGATTGATATCTTCAGTCGTAGCTGCTGTAACGTGGCCTGGGCCCCGTCCGTTCGTTC